GGAAGCTGAAAGATGAACTTAAAGAACCATTTTTTTAAAAGAATATGAAAAGCTCATCTTTTCCAAGGGAGCTCATGTAACCTAATGGGAAGGAATTGCACCGCCCTCCCAAAGGTACAAAGTTTGAATCCACTCATTGGAATGCAGGAGAAAGATGGCGGCAATCTCCTCCTGGACGGTTCATTGCCTCTGAGAACCTGAAGGGGGATCAAATAGGTGCTGGTTCCAACTCGGCGGTATATAACAACAATAACAACACCCTCTCACTGAGTCCTGTCCGTCCCACTGTTCCTGTATGATGTCCGTCTGCAGCCACACGGCAGCTGCAACAGTGGGCCTCAACACACCAATGGTTGCAAAGGTGGCCCCAGATCGGGCAGTGTTTATTACACACAGATTGGCATGATGAGTTATTGACTTGACAGCACCTAGCAACAGTTACAACTATGAGACGGGGCAGGGGGAAGCACTGTTGTTGTTGTTGAGTGCTGTCAAGTCATAGATGACTCATAGAGACCCTGCGAACGAAAGACCTGGACACCTGTATAACTTTCATCCTTTCTCCAAGTTCGTCGAGTTTCTGGAGGCAAGCTATTTTGGAAGTGGATGCCACTCCTGCTTCCAAACTTGTTTTAATCGGGGAGCACCACCAAACACTGTCCACCATGGGGAACCATTCTCACATTTGACACATCAGTGCCACAGTGTTCAGCATCACAGTGACCATGAGTTACCTCTGTACAGCAATGCACAGACAAGTGCTATACCACCTAGAAGAATGTTTCACCAAAAACCAATTAAAAACAGACCTGAGGGCCGCAGATTAGAGTCACCCACGTTTGGGAAAAGCTCTGGATGGCTGTATTATATTTAAGAAAAAGCAAAATATGTTTTGGTTGTAAGGACTTGGGAGACCATGCCCCAACATCTAAGTACCATTTAAACCACCATCAAGCCAGTTCCTGATAGATGAAGAGGCAGAAAAGTACAAGCGGACCAAGCCCCAGGTTTCTTCATCTTGCTGCGGGGCATTCAGCTTGGCTTGTGAAGTACGTTAGCCCAGGAATTCTCACGCACTGTTATCAGGCCACTGCACATGAGAGAGGGCTGGCACTGAGGAAGGGATGTGCCTTGGCCGCGTGTGTAGACGCTTAAAGGCTGAACCACAATCCTGACCTGACTTTTTTTCTGGAGGCTTGAGGGCAGTTGGTGTTTGTTGTTGTTGTTGTTATGTGCCGTCGAGTCGTTTGCGACTCACAGCGACCCTATGCACAACAGCCCTAAACCCTGCTCTATCCTGCGCCAACCGCACTGCCCCTGACACGCCCATCCCGATTACCCCAGTCACCAAATCAATCCATCTCATAGAAGGTCTTCCTCTCCTGCGCTGTCCCTCCACCCTCCCAAACATGATGTCCCTCTCCAAGGACCCGTCCCTCCTGGCAACATGTCCAAAGTATGTCAGATGAAGCCCCAGAATCCTTGCCTCCAAGGAGTAGCTTGGTTTAATCCTCTCCAAGATGAATCTGTTTTCCTGGTAGTCCATGGTACATTCAGTACTCTTCTCCAGCAACACAGCTCAAAGGCATCAACTCTCCTTCTATCCTCCCTAGTCATTGTCCAACTCTCTGATGCATAACAAGTGATTGCAAAGACCATGGCCTGTATCATCTCCAGAGGAGTTAGATTTCTTGAGTTAGATACTATACTTACCATGAGAACCTAAATGTCTGAAAGGCCCGTCGGCTGCTGCACGGCACTGGCCTTAGCTCTAAAATAACAAATCTGCATTGTGAAAGTCAATGCGTTTCGATGTGACATAAATCCTTTTCTAATGATCACTTGGTGTCACGGGCTTACTTCAATGGACACATCACTTTAATCAGCCTTTTCCCCATCTGCTCTCCCCTTTCGTTATCATATGAAGGGAAATGACTCCCTGTCCTGGCTACGGAGTGGAATCTGGAGGTGGTGCTGAGCTCTTGGGCCCCTACTCCACATTCTCTGTCCACCTGGGAGGGTCAGCAGAGAGAAGACATGTTATTGTGGGATGATAAATTCCCCAGGCTGCTACATTTTTCTTCTCCCTGCAAATCTGGATGATGACAGCAGTATTGTTTTATGTGGACAGCCATGACCCAATATTGTGTCATGGGGGCACTTACTGAGGCAGCAAGTCCCCTGGGCTATGACTTTCTGACTTGACTGACTCACTGACATCCTGTACTTGCCTTTTAATGCTATGCAAATGTGCCCTCTTGAAAGGACTTTGAAAGGACTGAACCAACCCCTGCTGCATTGGGGAGCAAGCTTTTAAATCATGGAAAAGTCTTCAAATCTTTTCTCGCCCTGAATTAAGGCTAAATAAGAACCTTATGCTTCTGTTCTGACTTCATTTACAAGTTCAACTTCAAAGACACACTTTGGAAGGGATCTCGTTTGTAACTTGGGGACTGCCTGTGTATCTATCTTCAACTGACATTTCATCAGTCAGTGTTGAGGGAAAGGAGCCCTAGTGGCGCAACAGCTAAGCAGTTGGCAGCTAACTGAAAGGCTGTGGTTCGAATCCACCCAGTGACTCCAGGAGAGAAAGACCACTTTCATAAAGATGAGAGCCTGGAACAGTGTGTGTACCACTTCTGCTCTGTCCCGTGGCATTGCCAAGAGTTACCTACCATCAACTCGGTGGCTCTTAACAACATATGGGGGGCAAACTACATACACTTGAGCTCTTCCGTCTCCCATCCACCGTGTGTGCCTTGCTTGACAGACAAAGTGTTTTAAAATCTAGCCAGGGAAGGTCAACCTGGATTGATTATTTGTCTAGCAAAAGAAGTCAAAGGAGCCCTCTGGTTGGCCAGTTGTGGGTTCACAAAGGGTCCAGCCTCAAATGCACTGAGCACACAGCTCCTGCAAAGCTTGCTGGGAGCAGAGAGTGCGTGCCATGTTTGATCACAGCAGAACCTATAACCCTTCTGCTCGGGACACCGGGGATGGTTCTTACTGACACAGTCTGGACCTCTGTGCAGACACGAGGCAGGATTCGACACTGTGAAAATATTCCTGCTCCTGACGCCACTCTAGATCCAGGAGGGAGGGTTAGCAGCTGACACCACAGGCCCCTTCACTTATCAGGAATGGAGCCTTCAGCTAAGCTTCTGCTTCTTCAGGTATAAACAGATAAGCACAGCACCTGCGCCATGGGGCTAATGTGAGATCAAATGAGATAATACCCGGGAAACGCCTGGCACGGTGCTCACTCACCCTTAGCTGGGAGGCAGGGACACTGACTGCCTTCCTGCTGCTACTCCTGTTAAGAGCTGATGCTGAGTCTTGCCCCCAGCTCGTGGTGACCTCGTGAACAACAGAAACAAACACTGTCTTGTCTCGAATCAAACTCATCATTGGACGTGGGTTTGACCTTGCTTCCCTATAAGCCATAGGGTTTCACTGGCTGATACTCAAAACTAGACTGTCAGGTCTAACTTAAATAAGTAAATTAATAGCTAAATAAGTAAACTCTGCTATTCAGTGTCACTAGGGAGCTCTGGTGGCCTAGCGGCAAGAAGCTGTGCTGCAATCCTGAGGGCATGCAGTTCGAATCTTTCAGCTGCTCTGCAGGTAAAGGTTAGGCAATCTCTTGTGTGATTAATTGCCTCTGAAAACCCTCTGGAGGGTCAGCTATGGGTAGATTCCAACTTATTGTACACAACAACAACATTTGGCACCACAGGAACAAATCAGCCTCTACTGACAGATGGGCTGTCGCTGTGTGTGAGGGGCAGTGCTGAGAAGTAAACCTGAGTCTCTCTCACTGGAGAGGAAGACCCTCAACTAGGTGGCTTGACATGGTGACAGCTGCAATGGGTTCTAGTGTGTCAGGAAGTGTGAGGATGGGACAGGATATGTTGTTCGTAGGGTTGCTGTGGGTCATACTCGACCCGACGGCACCTAACAACAACAACAACAACAACAACAACAACAACAACAACAACTGCCTCACTGGAGGTGAACTGAATTACCACAGAGTCTGCATTGCCTAATCCATTATTAAAATAGTGAAATACTCTTGTCCTATTTATAACAAAGAGCCCCAGGCCCCATTACCAGGATCCACCAAATAAAAGATTAAAATCAGCCCAGCGCTCGGTGAAGATCTGGTGGTTAAAATTTCCCACCTGCTGCTTAGTAGACGTTAAGGGGTGTGTGTGTGTGTGTGTGTGTGTGTGTGTGTGTGTG